TTTCCTGTTGAAATTTTGTTTATGTTTATGGGTTTCATTGGCTTCCCTGTGCAGTTTAACATACAGATTGCTGGTCCTGTCCAGTACTTCGCGAAACGTCAGGACGAACAACCTTCAGAACACGGCCAAAGAGCCCGAAAAACCCACAACAACCATTAGATCCTGGCCGTGAAAGCCTTCGAGAATACATTGCTTGGAAATGAGAATTTCTCTTTTTTCCCTTGGTCTAGAGAAATTCTGTGACATAGTCTCTCTGATTTATCTGCCCTCGCATAGGCTGGAGAATGTTCAGAGACCAAGGCTGCACCGTGTTAATCACATAAGAACAAATGAGAACTAGAGAAACCATCTCTTTGATGGCACTTTGCATTCCCCCCCCAGCACTTCTCACCTAAGGCTGAAATTTAAGAAGAGCCCATGTTTTGTTTCACTCAGCTGACAAGGTTAAAAAAAACACAACCTAATGGCATGATGGCTGACCAAATACATGCAACAATAGGAAAAGAGGGCTGGAAGCCCTGTGTTTAAAAAATTTGAGAAGGACATTCCATTCCACATCAACAAGGGTGGAACTTGAAACCTACATTCCAGACCAAAGTTTGCAGCCCCATTTTGAAACTTGCTTTTGACAAGGAGATCTAGCATGCATATCTAGCCAGAATTTCTTGGACTATGGATTATTTTTCTCCACCACCTATATCCAGATTGGTATCCAGGTGAATGAAGACTGGTAGAGGTTAAAGTGGCTTTTCTTAGGTTTTTCAATGGTTTAATAAAGGCATCAACAAACACACCCTGTTTGCCTTTGAATTAAATACACCCACTTTCCGTTCCGTCGCTTCAGTGTTGCATGATGTTGATCGCTTTATCTTTCATGATTTTCCCCTCTCTGCTACAGCTCAGTGGCAGAATCTCAGCTTTGTATGCAGACCAACTGGATGTGAGGTTTAGTTAAAAGTAGTAGAATGGCTCATAGCTTGTTAAAAACATATACCAGGGAGGGAGGGCCTTCTTAGTGGTGGCTCCCAGGCTGTGAAAAGGCTATGCTGACCCCCTCCAGTTGTCCTTCTGCAAACAGGGCAGGCCCCTTAGACAGGCTTCTGGGAAGTGACTAATTTCTGGAAAAGGGAGTTCTTAATGGAAGAGTGCTTATATACTGATGATTTTTAATGCTGTTTTTAATTCAACTGTATTCTAATGATACAATTGGATTCTGTTTAGATACTATAGCTTACCTGTGCTCTTGCTAAATTGAGTCCCAGTTCAGTGAGAAAATTGAGATGTGAATTAAGTAAATAAAAGGAAATAACCCCTATATCCAGGTACGGTATTTATCAGCTAAATAGATTGAATATGAAACCTAGAAATTGTTTGGAAAGTTGTTGGTAAAAGCTATGAAGGCCCATATTCATGATTGAATGCAACGGTGGCCAACCTGCATTAGTTCAAATGGTGTCAGCTTGCAAGTCCCTTTATTATTTTCTTATTAGTTTCATTTCTGTGCCATGCATTCTGCTCAAAGACACCCAAAGCCGTGTGCATCACAATACCAATAACCATGAACAGTAAAATACCTCTCACAAATGGTAAAAATGCAAATAACAGTGAGGCACCACCTAAAGCCCATCAAACAGTTTTGTCTTATCCACAGCACATTATCACCTAATGCTTCAAAATGTACGTGCTGGAAGAGCCGTTTAATAACAGGCAAGGACCTGCTCAAACAGCTCTGCCTTACATGCCTTCTTGAATCCCTGCAGAGCACTAAATTGATGGGATATAAATGTAACGAATAAAACAAACAAATAATGCCATATGTCCCTCCTTCCTAAGTCTAGTCAATATCTATGGTCAGTTTCACCTGGTGTTCTCTTGCGCCTTGTCCCTTCTCTTTGTGCCTGTGATTGTCTGTCTGTCTGTCTCCCTCTCAAGCTGTAGGGAACCCTATGTTTTATTCCCCACCACCACCTATCATTCTGTACTAGCGCTATGCCAGATTGCACAAGAATTAAAATTTAAAAAAACAACTAAATATAACACCAAAGTAGCAGCAGCTAATGACCATAAGAGGAAGCCAGCGTGAGAGTGGGCGCAGGACGAAGCCTCAAAGGCAACGACCCTAAAAGCTTGGGTAGCTCCCTTAGTTTAGGCTATTCTGGACATCCAGCAACATCTGGAACACCCCCAGTTGCCCACTTGTGCTGAGTGTCTCCTTTACGAGACACATCCTTTAAAAACAATAATTTGGATAGCAGAGACAAAATATCGGAAGGCTGTCAGTTTTATCCACCACCAAGAGGCTAGATGGCCCAGTGTTCTGTTTCGGGTTGAGTCAAGTGTCACACAACCATTAAGAAAGTTATCATTCAACCACAAAACTCCTTGGCTGTCCTTTGACTGGTCCCCATGTCTCAGCCTGACATACCTGGCAGGTAGGATGAAGATGAAATGAAGGGGAGAGCCCCTTGAGTTCATACGTGGAATGCACAAACAAGCCATGAAGATATGAAGTATGTTCCTCTATACACATACCTTCCCCCCCCTCTCGCTGCACTAGCTGGAACTGAATTATTCCCAAGGAAACGTTTCGAAACAGTCTTGATGCCATGTTTAGGCGGAGCTGAAATTCAAATGATACACTCAAGAGGCTCTTCCCTTGTGATGAAATGGATGATCTATTTCAGGGGGTGGGCTAGGGTAGGCCATTCAGTTTCCAGTATTTTGCTGAGCAAATGCTGAGAGGAAACGTGGTGGCCAACAGGCTCACCACAGATACAGCCTGCCTACTTTTTTTCTGGCTTCCTGTGCCGTCTTCCACAATCAATTGCGACACAGCCTGAGAGAAACGCAAAGCAAACAACTTGTGACACCATCCATGTTGGTTAGAGCCGTACGTCCAGCAACATGTGGGGATGATATTCATGGAATACACTGACTCGCCATCATCCCGTAACAGGGTAGCCTGGACCCGGTGTCGCTCCAAGAACTCTGGATAATCCGTGAAATGCCACTTTGTGGATTAAAGACATGGGTGTGCGTGATTTTAAGAAATCTTTATCAAGTGCCATGTACATAGATAGCATCGTCCCATAATAGGGTAGCCTGGACCCAGTGTCGCTCCAAGAACTCTGGATAATCCATGAAATGCCACTTTGTGGAGTAAAGGACATGGGTGTGTGTGATTTTAATAAATCTTTATCAAGTGCCATGTACATAGATGTCACATCCTCCTCGTTGTCGTCATCAGTAGAGGCAGCACCATCATTCCTATCCTCATATCTAGAGGCAGGATACCCGAGTGGGGCACCGTCTTTAGATGGATGGAGGGCCAATTCTGTTTCTCACGACTCTTCCGGGTCCACTTTGTGTGTGTGTGGTGAGTGGACCCAAAAGCCAAAGATGGAACCCCCAAATGCCAGCATGTTTGCCTCTGTGTGTCGCTGGAGACCAAGACCAAAGATCATCTGCACTATCGTGTCTCCTGTCGCCACAAACGGGTGTGAAAGCTGGACAATAAAGAAAGCAGATGGGGGAAAAAAATAATTCATTTGAAATGTGGTGCTGGAGGAGAGCTGGGCCAGATACCCACCAGAAAGGCGAACAAGGGAATCCTAGATCAAACCAAGCTTGAAATTTGGAGGCAAAAAGGTTGAAACTGAGGTTGCCCTACTTTGGGCACATCCTGAGGAGGCAAAGGATTCTCTGGAAAAGACCGTGACGCTGGGAAAGGTGGAAGGCAACAGGAAAAGAGGAAGACCCAATTATGAGATGGGTTGATTCCCTAAAGGAAGCCACAGGATTGAGTTTGCAAGAGCTGAGCAGGGCCGTAGAGGACGGGGACATTTTGGAGATCGCTCGTTCATAGGATTGCCAAAAGTCAAAGGAGACTAGACAACAAACAACAACAACAACCATCATCCTGGGTCAGCAAAGTGCAGCCTTCCAGATGTTGTTGGGACTATCACTCCCATCAGTTCTACTCAACATAACCCATGGAGAAGAATCCTGGGAATTGTTTAGGAAATGTTTAGAGGACCGCCCTTCCTCCACCTCTCAACGAAGCCTCGCCACCTTTAAAATTGGGAGCAAAAAGAAGGACACAACGCAGGAGCGCCAACCTTGGGTGGCATCACAGTGAAGAGTATTTAGCCCTGGGGGGTTCCGAAAAGGCTGGACTGAGACATGGGGGGGGAGAGGGAGGAAAAAGGGAGACCCTTCCCTGTTTCTGTATTGACATTTCAGCCCTTGATTCAATGGGTCTACTCTAGTTGAGATGAGCAAAGTGATAGATCCCTGCCTTGCTTTGGCTAAAGCAAATGAACAAGGCGGAACCCCTACAAATTAATAAAGTTATTAAAAAAAACATATATAGCAATGATGCATCCACATGTGTAGGTGTGAGTAACTCACCTTTCTATTCCAAGGACTGCTTGCTTAGCTGTGTGTCATCTGACTTATTAGGGACCTTAATGGGGATTTTCAAGCGGTGTGAAGTATTTAAGGTGTGGTTTTATCTTAGCCACTTCCCCAGCCCCCTTGTGAGTTTTTTAGGGTGGAGAAGAGATTCGAACCCCCCGGTCTGCTGAAATCCTGCTCCCTCATCCCCTCCCTTGCACCCCCCTGGCTGATCCTCCTTCAAAGGATAAAGGCGCCTCGTTGAGCCAAAAAGAGAGAGCACTTAGGCATGTTTAAAAGTTCACAAGGGGAAAGATGATAAGGAGGATGGTGACGGCTGTGTTTTATTTGCTTTGTTTTTAATCATCAGCAGCTCTCCCGGATGGTGGATGATCTTCTGCCTCCTTGGCGCTTCTCTCGGGCAATGCCCACCCATCCCCAGCCAAGGCTCCGGAGGAGCGCAGGATCCTTCCCTCCCAGGGCCGGTCCTTGTGCGTTTGTTTTGCAGTGCGCTCGCCCGCCTCTCCTTCCCCTCCTCCTGACCCTCCTCTGCCTTTTGCACCCGGGTCTGCCTTGCGAGAGAGAGGAGAGAGAAAGACGAGCAGGCCGGCCAGCCGGCGAGGGAGAAGGAGGCGCACCAGCCGTGCCAAGCTCGCATTGACGTCAGAGCGGGCCGCACATGACCGAGGGCACCAATCGGGCGCGCGCCGGAGCGGCTGCTTCCCCGCAACCATCTCTCCGGGAGTCTCTTTTCCCACCCGCGGCAGGAGGAGCGGCGGCGGCGGCGGAGGAGGGAGGAGGAGGAGGAGGCTCGGGCGGCTCCACGCGCTTCCCACCCGGCCCCCCTCTCTCGCCACACCACAGCTCACCCGCCTCCCTCCTCCCGGACACGCGTCCGCGCCCGGTTCCAACGTGCACGGATCATTACGCGCGAGCCGGCGAGCGTGAGCCCGAGAGAGATCGAGAGAAAGGAAGGAAGAAAGACGACGCCGGAGCCGACTCTCTCTCTCTCTCCTCCTCCGGCTTCGCTTCCGCCGCTGGCTTTGCTCTTTCTTCCCCCAGAGTCTAGCTTTTCTGACCCCCCCCCGACCCTCCACCCTTCCTGGTTTGGATGCCGCCTGCCTTTTGTCTCCGGCTTCCTGGACGTCGGGATCGATCCGGGCTCCTCGACATGGATTTGGGAAACTGAAGCCACGAGTTCTCGCCCACCCCCCTCTCCTCCCCACCTTGGCCGCCCCACCGAGCTGGGCTGGCCAGCCTTTGACTTCCCCGCACACACACACTCACACACACACAAATCACAATTAGAAACAAAAGGAGAGGCGAGTCAAAAGAAACAGCCGCCGGAGAGAGAGAGAGAAGACAAGGAGCTTGATCTGGTTTTTTTTCCCCCTTGTTGTTGTTTATGTATGGATTTTGGAAGTTTTTTAAAAAAAACAATCTGGATATATATATGTATTTTTTAAATCTAGAAATTGCTTCCTGATTGTGTGTCTGCGTGCGTGTAATCTGGATTTTGGGGGCGGTTAGGTGGTGGTGTGTCCCCCCCCTCCCCTCCGTCTCCTTCCTTCCTCCTCCTTTTAAAACAATCCACACCCCAGGCTTTGTATGCGCGTTGTGTATTATTTTTTTCCCTACCTTTTAACCATTTCCCCAAGACGATTTGGAGTTTTTTTGGTTGTTTTTGTTTTAAAGCAGGAAATTATTGGGGTGTGGTTTTTTTTTATTATTCCCCCCCTCCAAAAACAAAGCCAGCCAGCGAGGGGACCCACGACCCTTCCCCCTGCAGCTGGCATGGATTTCCATGGCGGGGGCGGCGGCGGCGGGGGCAGCGACCCCCGGCAGCAGCAGCAGCAGCAGCAGCAGCTCGAAGAGACCAAGCCCTTGTTGGGCGACGTGTCGGCGACGGAAGGCAGTAAAATGGGGGCCGCTTTCTGCCGGCGAGGCGTCCACTGCACCGGCATGAGGTACAAGCTGCTCCAGGAGGGGGACATCCAGGTGTGCGTCATCCGCCACCCGCGGACCTTCCTCAGCAAGATCCTCACCTCCAAATTTTTGAGGCGGTGGGAGCCTCACCATCTGACCCTGGCCGAGAACAGCCTCGCCTCCGCAACGGTGAGTTCACACGTTCCCTGCCTTCCCTCCGCGGGCGATCCGTGTTCACGCGCTGGCTCTCTCCCGCCCTCTTTTTATTCCCCCTCCCCTTCCATCTCCGAAAGGAAGAGGAAAAGTGTCTGGAGTGTGTGTATGTGTCTGTCTGTCTGTCTGTGTAGGCTCAATCCTGAAAAGAATGGCCCCATGGAAAAGAATGGGACACGGGGAGGACCTCTGGGGATTTCCGTGGGTCCGCTCCCGTCTGGACTAGCGGGCGCTCTGCTCGACACGGTTCTGGGTTGGATCCGAGTACGAATTTATGACTCTTTTTTTTGGGGGGGGGGAAACGTGGGAAACGTCCCACTGTGGAAAAAAAGCGCACCCCCCCCAGTGTCTCTTTTAGATGGCGTGTACAGTATTCAGAACTCAACAGTAGGGTTGAGAATTTGATTCAAGCGATGCAAATGGAAGATATGACACTTAGCCAAAGAGTGAGTCAATCTTTAGCTCGAGTTGGTGTGGTTTTTTTTTTAAACAAATAAAAAAAAAATCTTCCTGTCGTCTTCCTGTCCTTCAGCCCTTTGGAATATCTGATGTGAAAATGGGAGATAGTGTTCTTGCGTTTTTTTAAAAAACAATTCTAGCTGTGCTTACCAATCCGCTCGGTCACTTCTGTCCTTTGAATGGGAAAGGATTTCACAGCAAAATCTCAGGATGGAGGGTTGTGTGTTTCTCTAAGAACAAACTTGTGGCAATGATTTTTTCCCCCCTTCTAAACGTTGCACTTGACATTTTCAGATAATCAGGCCATGTGTTACCGAAGGGCAGTGATAGAAAAATAAGACAGAAAATGAGCAGAACATAAAACATTTTATAGGTAAGGAGGAGACCCTGAGGCAGTGGCAAGGGACTGTACGGTCAGAATGGATTCGGAATGAGGAAGTCAGAGAGTTTCCACTGTGAAAAAGTGATTTAGGCCCTGCTTTAAGTCCTGGTTGTATCAGTACGGTGTGTTTTGCTCCCACCATGATTATGAATAGGGCCCAGAAAAGGTTGGTTAAGTCCTCACTGCCCGGATTTTGCTAACACAGGGTGCTGTAACTTATTCTAAACTGCATGTCATGCAATATGTTGGTGCAACATAACTTAACCACACGTGGGCAAGGGGCTGTGCTCTGCAAGATCATCGGTGTAAGGCTCTCCCTGACCTAGCCGCCCGTGGCTGCCTCCAAATTTCACCCCCATGCGCCAATTCTGCATCAGTTCCATACAGATGGTTGCTGCTAATTTTGCTGTTCCCTTTTCTAACTGTTTCTCTTCATTCTTGGTCCTGTTTTCCCCCCCTGTTGCTCAGCGCCCCCCTCCGCCCCCAAAGATGGTCAAAATCTCCATTAGGTCAGCTCATTTATTTGGGGGTGGGAGGGGTTGCAAGCAGCTTTACTGTTTTAATGTCCTCAAAACCGTCTTCTGTCTGTCAATACCTTTTAATGTAAATACATATTTTAATCATTTAGCTTGTGTATGGGATAATGAGGATGTGTATGGGTTTTTTTGGTAGCCTTTTACTGTTTTAATTGTTTTGTTTCTAGAGTTGGTGTATATATGTTTGTAGATATTTTGGGACTACAGTTGGTAGGGCCATGACAGTTGGAACCGCAAGACAGAGCACAAACTCCAAGCCCTCGAAGCTGCAATTTTTAAAAATGGCAAGTTGTCATTTGCACAAATAAAACCAGCCAATCACATTTCAAGGACCTCTTGATGTGTTTACATCTGAGCAGAACTCTAAGCATGTCCTGAACACATATTGGAGCCCATGTCTAAATTCCCCCTCCATTCAGCTCTGGGTACATTAATACATTTGTGCATCTCCCTTTCCTTCTTAATTATATATGAATTGAATTAACGTCCTATCCCGACCCCCTGCCCCCAGTTGAGCTCATAGTGTCCTGCCTTGGTCTTCCCTCTCCTCCTCATTTTATTATTTCAACGACCCTGTGAGGTAGGCCAGCTAAGAAAGAGGAACTGGCCTGAAATCTCCCACGGCCTCTTTCTGGCCTACCACTGTTAAAATTACAACACACTGGCTCGTTCTTATAATGATGCAGGGTGAGCCACGCAGAGGATTTTCACCAGCGTTGCATAGGAAGACTTTTGTCCCCCTTTCTTCCATTGGCAGTGAGGTGCAGCCATCAGGGTATAATCACATGATGGTGGTTTTTATTGCTTTGTTTATGTCCGCATATTGTCAGGGGCCTGAAAGCACCAGAAAGCAACAAGTAAATGCTTGCAACTCGGGCCCTGTTTGGTAAAACATGGTTATGAGATAGATGGCTGTAAAGGTTTCCTCCCGAGCTGTAATTCAGACTCAAGAGGCAGACCACAAAGAATGGTCTTTCTTCAATACTCTCAGTTTTCTCCCAAGCCTAACAAGTTGCTGTGATTGGATGAGGATATTGTTCAGTGCCTTCTTCTTGCCCCAGCTGTTTGGGACAGTTGACTGCTTATAAGGTATCCGACTCTGATCTTGGCAAGATATGGCTCCAGATTTGCAAGGTGTTTCGAGCAAAATGTCCGAGCAAAATGTCCGCACTGTGTTGACCTCTTCCTCACCCTTTGCCCTTATTGACTTTTGGCCATGGGTGCACCTCCTGCTTTAAGCCAGTCTCCCTTGATTTGAAATATACTGTATGCATTGAATCCTCTCTGTGTATGGCTTAACCCTCACTCCCAGCTCCTCCCTTAGGTTCCCAGTTTGAAATCCCCCCAAAGACATACTGATCTGTAGAATAGTGTAGAACAACCATGGAAGACAAATATCCAAGCTACATCTTTTCCTTCGGGTGCAAAAGTGCTTGCTCAACAAGAGATTTATCACGCTACTGTTGCAAAAGATGCAGGGAGTTTGAAGTAGTGATAGCGAAAGCAGATATTTATAAAGAAAACAAAAAGGTCAGAGTACCCGATGTTAATTTGTAGGGATGTGTTTATGCTTGATACATAGTAGAAATACAGAGGCAGACAGCCTTTGATCTCACTAATGTCCTCTGAGTTCTACCATGTTTGGTTGAAATTGCTGCTTTCTCAATGGGGAAGATTGTAGAATCTGTTTCTGTGGGAGTGCTTAACCTGTAGTTAAAACTCAGATATGTGTCTGTAAAGACATCTAAAGAGCTCTTTGGTTTCAGGTGACCAGGAAATGGGGTTTAAAAAACTTTCTCTTAAACTTTGGGGTTCAGTCCACTTGTTCATCCCAGCCAGAGTCAAAGTAGAAGCCATTGAATCAACAGAACTTAGATTAAGTGAATCAATGGCCGAAATCACTCCTAAAGCAGACCCACTAAATCAGTGGAGCTTACAGAGGAGTTGACTCATTGAATCCCCACTGATTCAAGGGGCCTACTCTACCTGCAACTTACCACTGGTGGATTTCAGCCAGTTTGTCCACACAGTTCTAATTGGGGTAACTACTGGATTTATCCCAAGGCGTTCTTTGCCACCAGGTACAATAGGCAAGTTTAACTAAAAAATGGTCTTAAAGTACATGGGCCAAATGGATAGGAAACCAAGAGAAAAATAATTAATGTCTATTGATGTGGCTCCCAATCGTGGGTCCCCAGATGTTCTTGGATTACAGCTCTCAGAAATCGTGGCCAGCACAGCTAGTGGTGAAAGCAGGTGATGGGAGTTTTAGTCCCAGACTATCTGGGGACCCAGGTTTTGTTGCCTCACCCTGTTGCTATGAATTTCTCCTTACAGAAACTTGTAGAACAACAACAGCCTCACCGCCCTATAGTTTTACATAGTTGTGTGTCCCCATCCATGAGATTTTCATTTATTTGTATTTTGGGGAGGATGTTGGACCTGGTTTTCATATAGAAGTTGGATTATTGAGAAGTATTAACCCTCCATGATGGATTTTTTTTTAAAAATAAAATGCCCGGCCATTTTGTTTTAAATGGAAACATGTGGATAATTGTGCACAGCAGGGTTGAGGGAGTTTTCGTCTTCCAGATGTTGTGGACTTCAGTTCCCAGAAGCCCCAGCCAGTGTGGCCACTGGCAAAAGATTATGGTAGTCCTAGTCTAAACTGTTGGCGGGCCAAGGATTCTCTGTCCTCAGTGTATGGGTTGCATCATTGCTGGATATTGGTCTGAAAACAGGTGATCCAGCAACCATCCTGAAGCTAAACTGGTCCAGGTCTGGTGGAATTCCACCTTGAGTTCCAGGTTGGAAAGAAGGAGAAGCGTCAGTACAATTAAGTGAGAAAATAAGAAGGTTGAGTTAGATACTCTGTATGGTGATTGTAGTGGTTTCCATAGCTCAGTGGCAAGAAGGTATCCAGGTTAAAATGTGGTCATGTAGGAAGTGGTAGGAGGAACCTTATTCATAAAGAGAGCTGGAGAGTAGCTGCCGGTCAGAGTGGACAGTGTTGAGCTAGCTAGATGGACCTGTGGTGTGACTTACAATAAATCAGCTTCCTGTTTCAGAGAAGGGGTAGAGTTAGTTGATAAAACAAATGATTTGCATGCAAATCATGTATATATATATTTAAGGGGACGACAGAGGACGAGATAGTTGGACAGTGCCACCGAAGCGACCAACATGAATTTGAACCAACTCCGGGAGGCAGTGGAAGACAGGAGGGCCTGGCGTGCTCTGGTCCATGGGGTCACGAAGAGTCGGACATGACTAAACAACTAAACGACAACAAAGGGGATTTCCTATGTTTCATATTTAATTCAGGCGGTTGTATATTGTTCAGCCATAGTTCAGTTATTTTATAATCCCAGCTAGCTTTTATTTGAAGTAGTATATTTATATCACATATTTGGTGTGGAAATCTGAAGGCAATGTATACAAGGTCCCTTTGGCCTGCTCTGTTATCACACCAAGACCATAAGGTTAGTCGGTAGGAGTGTAAGAGTGGGATTGGGCTACCCAGTGAGTTTCATGGCCAAATGGAAGATTTGAAGCCAGGTTTCTTGAGTCTAGCATAGCAGTCTAACCACTATACTACA